GGAGGAGGGAGAGGGAGGAGGAGGGAGGAGGAAGGAGGAGGAGGAAGGAGGGGGAGGGGGAGGAGGAGGAGGGAGAGGGAGGGAGGAGAAAGGAGGAGGAAGGGGAGGGAGGAGGGAGGAGGAGGGGGAGGAGGAGGGGGCGCTCGTTGTTTTTTGTCAGCGGCCTTTCAGCCTCGGGAGGCCTTCCAGCAGCTGCGCCTCGCCGGGTGCGTTCCACGGGTGCCCTAATCGCCCCGAGCGGTCGCTGGGGGCCCGAGTTGTGGCCACGTGCAGCCACCACGGGCATCGTTAGGGGTGGGCAGGCTCGGGGAGGGACGCCTCAATCATCAATCGCCCATTGATCATCACAGGGGCCAGAGGCCCCACCCCGCCCAGAAGCGGGCCGACTAATCCGCGGTATATCGTCGATTGCATGTCGATGCCCCCGCCTGAGCCGCGCAACCCCCCAGGACGATGCCCCTAAGGAGACGTTGGAGTGGAGTGCAGTCGAGACGTTAAGACTTGAAACAAGGGCACCTTGGGTTTAGGAGGGGCCCTCTTTTTCGAAAGAGGAAGAGCTGCATAACCTGACATATGTGAGCATAGCAAAACGTGGCAACACATAGCATCACATGACATGGCATGACACGTTGTCATATAACACAGCACGCCAGACCATAACATAGCTGATAAGCAAATCGTGCTACGACACAGTGGAGCACACATCACATTTCATAACATCCTACAGCAGACCATCACAACACATATCGTGCATGATAGACTATGCCGTACCATGTATACGACGACCATGGGTTTGGCGTGCATGTTATTGCACGATGGCATGACGTACCACTTGGCATCGCTCGGACGTGTGCATCTTTTCCCAGCGGGAACCATCGAGGACCATCCTGGACCATCGAGCAACACAAACACGCACGAGACCGACACATGCAGGGGACATGGGCGTCCGAGCGACGGCAAGACCATGTTATACCATGCCGCTGACATGACGTACCATGTAACATACATGTTTTACCATGGCGTACCATGTACGCGACGACCAGTGCATACCATACCGTACCATGTGTAGCGTGCATGTTCTTCATGTTATACCAGGCACGACGAGGCCGCACCGTCTCATGCCGCACACGCCAGGGCCATACTTGAACACAGTAAAACGACGTATTATCTTGCAGAGCGGAAGGTACATACCAGATTACAGAGCATGACACATCATTTCATAACCTACTACATTTGAGGTGGGCATACTCTAACATTAAAGACCATGTTGGCACTGCGGCGATGACAGATCAGAGCATCCCACAACCCATGACCACAGCACTGCCAACTTCGTAATCTGACACATTATGCCATGGCACAAGAGCTGCATCACACATCACACGTCAGCAGACCATGCTATAGCACACCCCAGTCAGCCATGACAGGACGAAGCATATACAACACAGCAGAACCACACACGTCATACAATGACATACCATGCTATAACATAGCATAACACTACATGGCCTACCGCACTATGGCATACGATGTTATAACGTAGCACAGCACAACATTACATCACGCCTGGTTCCACACCATGACAGGTCATACGATGACAGGGCCTGGTATATTATCATTACAGGTATCACGTCTTAGCATAATCTCACACACAGCATGGCGATGCATCGCTACATGGCGCCACTGCGTTCACATCATAACAAAATATACGCTCACACAATACATACCACTCATTACAGCATGACACACCATAGCACATTATGTTTCAGGACAGCGGCAACTGGCGACCTGGCCCGACCGTCGCGCTGACCAAGACAGCCATGTGCATCGTTCCAGTAAGCGTGCGCACCTTCGGGAACCATCGTGGACTGGGATCGTTCGAATTCTGTTTCCTTGATGGACAAGGCGCGTGAGCAAGGACCGATTCGGGTTCATGAGCAGCTCTGGCTTGCAGGTCGCTTCCTAGGTCGGGGAACCTATTCGGGGCCGAGGCTCGCCGTGGCCAGAAAAGCCAATTCGTTCCTGATATGACTTGCGATGGCTGCAGGAGGACAGAGGAGAGGAGGAGTGATGGGCACGGGTTGGAGATACCAGAAAGTATATATTGTTCTTGTTCGTACGTTTTGTGGGCTCGGCTCTCAATGGAGCGCGACGGCATCCTTTGATGCAATCGTGTCCGGGCATTCATTATTTGCCGCTGCAGCCCCTTCCCGCTCTTCTACTCCCGATTGCGACCTGAGTTCCTCTCCGAGGCACTGCGGGGAGGAGATGATGCTCGTGACTCCATGGCGTCCTCCGATCTCCCAGCCCAGCAACGCTTGTGGTCTAAACCATCTTTCATCATGGTGGGCCGCCGGAGGGAGAACGTGCAGGACGCAGTGGCGTTTTGTAAGCACCAGGGGGTCTGGGACGGTCGCGCACCTTCTGGCTGGTTAACAGCTCGGCCATCCTCTCGAACCCCGCACCTCGGCCATCCTCCCGGCCCCGCACCTCGGCCACCCTCCTGGCCGCCGCGAAATGTCGCCCCAAGTCGGCCTTCGAACTGCCTCGCCCGGCCTGCCAGGGCCCCCGTGCGCGCCGCATAGACACAGATCCCTCCCGGGGCTCACAAGTGGCGTTGGAGATGCCGCCCGCCCATGTGAAGTCACTCGCTGTTGGCGTTTGGGTCTGCTTGGACGGGCGATGGGAGAGAGGGCCGACCCGCGAGGGGTCGCACGGGTGCGCGTGGAACGGGCGCTCGGTTGCATGGATGCACGGGGTCAATCTGCATGCAGGGGCGACAGGAGGGGGGAGGGGGAGGATAGTCGGAGGTCGATTGACCTCCTACACTGACACGTCGATCAAGGAACTGGCAGTTTCGGTTCGCGAGAGGGCTTCGCGGCCATCATTTTTGCGGGTCCAGGTCCGTGGGGTTCGGTCCTAGGCCGGTTTCTTTAAACGGAGGTTTAGTACAAGGGAGGTGTGTCCATTGCCGATATAGGCTCAGGGGGGTGATGCATCGACCTCAAACCGCACATCGATCACCAACAGTGTTCTGATATCCACACCCCGTCCAGGAGCATGCGGATTTGCCATCGTGGGCCCTTCGACGATGTATCGGTGATGTCTCGCAGATTCCAGGTCGATGCTGGTTTCTGAGGCCTCGAGACAGCTACAACATCGCGCAAGCGAGCTCCAAGCGGAGCCCATAGGAAACAAGAAGCGAGACTGCCGACATCGTAAAACAACATCAATATCTGTTTTGAAGGATTTGGGCCTGCTGGGGGCCTCGAGGGTGGTGCTGGCTTGGGTCTCTTAAGGCCATCTTGTGGCTGCCGCCCTCCCAACACATACGTAGCACCCGAGCCTGGCCCGAGCCGCAGCTTTTTCAGCAGTCGTCTTTGGATGGGCAGCTACTGGGGGCGAGTCCGCCGCCTCCGCCGCCGCCGCCGCCCGCCGCCGCCGCTGCGCCGCCGCCGCCGCCGCCGCCGCCACTGCCCGCCGCCGCCGCCACCGCGCCGCCCGCCGCCGCCGCCGCCGCCGCCGCCCCCGCTGCCGAATCGCCGCCGCCGCAGCCGCTGCCGCCGCAGCCGCTGCCGCCACCGCTGCCACCGCCGCCGCCGCCACCGCCGCCGCCGCCGCCGCCGCCCCCGCCGCCGCCGCCGCCACCGCCGCCGCCGCCACCGCCGCAGCCGCCGCAACCGCTGCCCCCGCCGCAGCCGCCGCAGCCGCCGCCGCCGCCAAGTGTACTCTGTATGGTCTTTGTGACAGGGATGGTGAGGGGAGGCCGCATCGGGTTCGCTGCGCATGCTCCGAATTTGGAGGCAGAGTGTGTGCTTGTATTGGTTTTTACAAGGGGTGGTGGGGGGGGCGCATGGTCTCGGGTTGGCTTCCAGTCGCCTGGGGGAGGGCGTGTATATTCATAGGGAACAGTGATCAACCCCTCCCCGGGCGGGAAGAAAGGGGGTTGGGAGAGGAGCCGCCCTAACCAGCTACGCCCAGAGGGTTGGTGGGATTCCTGTTCTGGATCAGTGTGGCAGCCTCGCAGAAGATATCCAGATCCTCCGATCTTGAGTTTGTTGCGCGTCCTCGTCGTCGCCGGCATTGTCATCGCGAGGTGGGGGTTCCCCCGCTCTGTCACAGTCTGACGCCTGAAAATGATTTAAGAGGCTTCCGCCATTCCGCCGACCCCCAGGATAGTCCACGGTTGAGGCGTCGTGGGCTCTTTTTGAATTATTGAAGTGTTGTTGCAACCGTTTAGGGGCCTCTTTCTGGCCTCTTGGGGGCCTCGTGGGGCATATTGGGGGCCTTTCTTTTGCAGCTTGGGGGCTTCTTGGTGTTTTTTGGGCGGGCTCACGAGGCGGAACGATCGGATGTGTGGTTCGCGTTCTCCCATATTTTTCCTGTGGCCTCTCTCGGATCTCTCTCGGGGCGATCTATGGCCCTCTTGAGCCCCTCCTTGGGCTGTCTTTGAACCCTCTCGGGCCGTCCTTGGACCCTCGTAGGGGCCTCTTGGGCAGTTTTTGGGCGGTTTACGGGGCCTGGAGCGTCGGAAGTTCGAGAAGACGAGACACCCAGATAGAATGAAACACCTGGGGGAAAACCATTGTTTGTTACCTCTCGAGGCCCTCTTGAGAAGGCTCCTGGGCCTCTCTTGGGACGTCTCGAAGGCGTCTTGGGGCGTCTCGGAGCCCTCGTGGGCATCTTGGGCCAATCGATCGGCGATTCGGGACCGCCTTGGCACGTCTTTGAGGCCACGGAAGGCAGACTTGGAAGCTCCAGGGTCTCCATTGGGGGCGCTGGGGAGCTCATGCACCACCCTCTTCCCCTTCCCCCCCCCTTAAAGACCAGATGTTGTGATGGCCCTGTTTTCCACCACCACCACCATAAGTTGGAGATGGGAAGGATGTGGAGGATGAGGAGGAGGGAGAAGACGAAGAGGATGAGGACCTCCTCCCCCTCCTACTTATGGTGGTGGTAGTGGGAAACCAGCCCACCATGTTGAGCCCTGGGGGAGGGGAGAGGGGGATGGGGACAGTCACGTATGCCACGCGCCTTCTCGCCCCCCGGGCAGGCGGGGGTCGCCGGACGAGAGGCCTCTCCCCAGAAGGCTGCGCTTCGAGCGAGAGCAGTCCGTTTGGGTGGACGGCTGCGTGCCGTCACGGGCCGACTTCTGTGCTCTCGTTGCCGACCAGGCGTTGAAGAATCTGAGCACGGGCCAGGGGGAGGGGAGGCATGGAGGAGATAAGGGAAGAGGCGCGGGCTTGGTGGGCCTGTCAGGAGTACTCGCGAGGCGGCCTCCCGTGCCGCATCAACCACGGCACCGCCA